TCGCCGAGGCGTTCAGCACGGGGTGCAAGTCTGCCTGGCGATACCAGTACTCGCTGACGCCGTCGTACCACGGCGCGGACCTGAAGGCGTACTTCCCCGGCAGTTCGACGCAGCCGAGTTTCGACTTCAGGCACGCGATGCAGAAGATCTGGGGGACCTTCATCATCAACAACACGCCGGTCATCCCCGTCGCGGACGCCATGGGGCAGTACGAGAACGCCTCCGTCCCCGTCGTCGGGAACAGCACGAACATCGACTGGCCCCAGTTCACGCGCGGCAATCCCGTCCACATGAATCTGAACACCACCGGGGGAGACATCAGCCTTCTCACGGTCACGGACCAATTGGCCTATTATATCCGGTCGGGCGCCGGCGTCGTCAATACTTTCAATCTGGCTAATTCTTTCTCTTGGGAAGGAGATCGCGGTAATCGCTGTGACTTCTGGCGGTCCGTTTCGCCAAGAGTCCCGCAGTAAGCTACGAAGTTCACTAGGTAGATAATAGAATGCAAAGTGTATATTCCATACCATCGCAAGTACGCGACGCAGTGCGAGTGTATCAAACTCTCCTTTTCGAAACTCTTCGTTAACTCGAGGTCCTGAACCCAAGACTTTACTGCTCCAGTTCGTCGGTCGGCTTTTATTCTCAGACAAAAGATAGCTTCCTCTACACTCACCTTGAAAAGTAATAGCTAGGTGTAAGTCCATTCAAGTTAGCTCTATCTATCACACCCCTCTACCTACTTGTGAGCATTACCGAGCAAAGATGTCGGGTACCTCTAAGATACTGGTGACCTGCAGGTTAGCTATATAAGCGACCGCATAGTTTTGAGTTGGCTTCTATATTTATATTATGCGCTTTACCCTACCATACTATTCGCTAGACAGTCGTTAATCGGCGAAGTGAAGAGAAAGGGCATGCACCAGCGACGCCACCGCACTGTCTTGTTGTCTCTTCTCCGATTCTTCAAGGTACACATAGTAACCAACCGTATCTATGATCTGGGTCTCAAAACTTTTGAATTCCTACCCGAATATCTCTTTAGTTCTTGCGTTATTGATCTTACAACGCTTTATCCGCTTCAAGATATCCTCTTTCGCAATCTCGGAGCCGACCAAGGCCGGAAAGTACTTTTTGGCAATGGAGATAGCGTCGAGCCAGTTTGTGTATCCTCCAGTAAGAATATATCGACCGCTGGGGACCTTTTTCTTGGATAATGCCTCGATATGACACCTCGCCACGTCGTCTATGTGAACGGATGTCGTGATTAGCCTCCCTTCACCCTTACCAAGAATGTGATTGAGCAACCTCGAGTTTGAGCCGGTGTTAAAGCTTGTTGCGGTCCAACACGGCGGACCACAGCCAAATACATTAGTTGCTAGAAGGTGCACGAAATCGAACCGTATACCAGGCATCGCCCGGTCACACATTTCCGCTAAGATCAAGTCGGCGCCCCTGCTCCCAGCGTAATCAGCAGAGCTATGAGGCGGGCTACGAGTCGGGTCTATGCAGTGATCAACATGAACAGGAGTGTTTTCGCCTTGTGGCTTCTGTCAGCAGGAAAATGGAACAAGTTTGGACGTAGAGGTCTCACCCTGAATCAACTTTGTGCTATTATAATCATCGAGTTCCTCTGATTTAAAATAGGCAGTAATGGACGAGGTGACGATGATCCGCCGGATGCGTTTATGTTGTTTGGCAGCTTGTATGATATCCCACATACAATGGACGTTAAATTCGAGTGAAGCATCGACAGGGTGTTTAGACTGGAACAACGTAAGCATATTGCGGACCACTCGAAGGTATAGTATAGTAGTGGCTGAACTGACATTTGCAAGGGGCGGACTCGCTGTATAGATAATATAATCTACCCCTTTGAATGCCCGGGTAAGTTGTTCTTTATCCGGATTGGTAATAGCCCTGGTGGAAACACGATTTAAATTATCTCGGATAAAAGAATGGAGAAATTGACTGAATTGTTCCTGGTTGAGTTGTCCCATGATGATGCGGACATGGTATCCGGAAAGCATCGCACTGTGAGCTATCGTGTAACCTAGAAACGAAGAATAACCGATGATCTATAAATGGCATTAATAAGGCCTCCTATCCATGTTGTGGTTCGTTCTGCTTTCGGTGGTCACTTACCGCCACAACCCCTTTAGAGGCCCCCTCTCCAGCTTTACGACTTTTGGGCTTGCGACCTTTGGACTGGCTGCTTTCGGACTTGTTGATATTATTGGCATCGCATTTTCCCCCTTCATATTCGGTGCCTTGGATCTCGCTATCTCTAGGGTTATAGTCACCGGGCCCGCCACCCCCGAGTTCGACGTCTTCAGGCTTACAAGCCACGGCCCTATATTTGGTACCCCCGTCCTCCGGTTCATCTCGTATAGACGTTGTGTCCTCGGACACGCGATTTTCGTCTAATTCGGCTTCGGGTACATCTTCTGCAGGCTTCTGTTCTTCAGCATTCTGTTTGTTACCATTTCCATTTTTGGCTTTGGCCTTTCTCGTTTTGGCCTTTGCACCTTTGCGACCTCTGGCCATTGTGATACTATATGTTTTGTGTATAATATACTTAAGATAGGTTTTCTCTCCAAGAATATCTAACGAAGGATTCGGAAATTTGTACGTTTACCGACAAATGAGACAACTTAATTTGCGGGTGATGGATGATTGTAACAATAGCTATCCTACTATGACATATTAGCTACAGTGTTATATTTTGATGGTGGAGTGTTGCTTCCGATATCACGCATGGAGTGGACGCTTTCCGCCTATATAACTCCAGCGTTTATTCAAAGAAGTCGCTCTCAACGTCTATCCTACGAACTAGATAGTTACAGGTAATAACGAACAGATACTATTAGGAGCCCTGTACTTGAGGTAGGTGAAAGATTCTTGTTGTTGCGCGAAGCCTCCCAACTATCATAGATGCTAATAACTACCTATATACAGGAATAGCTTTGTCTATATGGACGTCTATACGAATGTCTAGCAGTCTGCGACAGACGCTCCCAATTTAACCGAGGTAACGTCAATACATAGCAGTATCATAGAGAGAGTTCAACAGTCTCGGGCTCACCTTCCACTAATACTTTCCCTGTTCAACGCTTGTGCCTATTAGTAAGTACACAATCATGTCAAGTAGAAACGAAAGCTTAGACGTTGCTGGATAATGAATGCGAAAAGCAAAGGGAGTACAGAGATAGGACGGTTAACTAGATAATCAGCCTTAGGAGAATTCTCAAGATTTATTTCCTTTTCACCTTTTTATAGCAAAATGAAACCGCACCCAATATCATTGCCAGTCTATTCTTTTCTAGTTCAGCCAAATACTCCCATCATTGCCAGTCTATTCTTTTCTAGTTCAGCCAAACCTCCCATCATTGCCAGTCAACGATTTTCCAGTCCAGCCAGACACTCCCATCATTACTAAACCCACGCTGTTGTAGCGCCTTCCACACACGTTGGGCGTAATCGTTGTTCTTGTAGTTTTCTGGAATAGGCGGATCCTGTATCATAGCCATTGTACGGGCAAATTCAACACCAATCCACTCCCGGGGAACAAACTGGGCAGCCTGCCAGTCAATAATTCCAATTGTTTCTTTTTGGCGGTCAATAATAACGTTTGTAGGCCCTAGATCTCCATGGCAAAAGGAAAACGGCGGCTGTGCCGAAAGGCCAACCGTGTTGCAATTTGCAAGTATATCGGGCTTGTCCTTTCTCGTTAGGCATTCATTGAAACGATTATTTTTGGTCGTAGTACCGTCTATGCCCGCGCCTAACTCGCTAGAGGTAAGAGTAGCAAATTCAACACAAGCTTGGGCAACAAGATCTGCGTAGCGGTCTTTCGTAGCGTCGTCGAAATCCCACCAAAGCTTCGCAGCCGTTTCGCCCGGTATTTTAGATGTAACAAGAAAATAGCGGTTGTCGTAACGAGCGTGGTAAAGAACAGTAGGAAGCGCAAACGTTCGGTTAGGAAAATGTTTTAACATTTCCTTAATAGTTATATGCTCATCAGTAGAGTCGCAGTGAAGGGTATGATGCATTTTAATGCATACGTCTCCAATGGAGTAAACGCATTTACTTGTAGCCTCAGGAACGCCTGCATCGTTATCGTCCGCATCGATCTTAGTGCCACCGCCTGCAGCGAGATGAACAAGGGTAGGGCTGGTAGAGCACTCGGAGTCAGTATTTACTATATAGAGCACGATTCGGGGGCTTTTAGAAGTTTCTAGACAATTTCTTATCCCGAATGGAAATCTGCTGCTCTGAAACTTGCCAAAACAAGAAGAAAATAACTCCGAGAACTCACCCGTCACCTGGCTTCCATGGACGAGAAGGTGGTGGGGGTACAGGCGCGTCTGTAATAGCATAATAACCATCTGACGCAGTCCAGGTACTGATTAGATTAAGCGTATCCGTAGGCCAGGGTTCGTAGCGGCGGGTGAGTATAGCGCGGTCTCCAATAAGCCAAGAGTCGTTGCTGATCGTGGTAAGACCAAACATAGACGCTCGGCTCTTCATTGGGACATGTTCGACTGTGTGAAAGTGTTTGGGCTCATTCTTAAGAAAGCGCAAGACATCTAGCACACTATGATACTGCTCTAACGGCGTCATACTAGAATAGCGAGCTATTGCGAACCGGTTGCAATTTGGAAATAGCTAAAGCAACGAAGTGGATGGAAGGATTGTGGGTATCCAGTCGTAGTCTAAAATCCCAAGTGTGTGTGCGGGATAGACGCACGGACCGTGCATGATGCATGGGATTACCTACCCGCTAGGTAGTCTTATCAACTTAGTGTGTCCCAACGCATGCACTTAAAATTGGAGGAATAAAATATTGAAAAAAATGCTAGGTATATAAACGCCACATAAAAAAGAAGAGTTAAGAACAATCAGTGAAAGGGGATTAGTACTAGAAAGAAAAAAAAAGGAAAAAAAAAAAGAAAAGGAAGGGTTGCTACTCCTAGTCAACTAGGAGGCATCAGGAATTGAGCCCGATGCGGGGGTCGAACCTGTGATAGTAGGTTAGTATCTCTTTGCTCTTCGTTGGTATGAACTGAAGGACTACTCACCCGCAACCTTGAGATTAAGAGTCTCACGCTCTACCGATTGAGCTAACCGGGCGCTGGCTGATTGTTGGTTGCTGTTACGCAATAATCGTTCTTGAGTGTTGGGGGCTTGCTCGAGTTTGCTGTCGATGGAGGAGCTAGGTAGGTAACCGAGCCGTTTAGACGGGTTTTCCTACTCGCTTAGATAGATTTTGTTTGCTAGGACCAGGTTTGGGTCTGGGTCTGGATCCGGACCCGGAGATTCGTATCACAACCGAAAAATTCCCTGCAGTACTATACAGTATGGAGGTCTGGGTATTCGGGTAGTAGTTAGTCTATCGACTACCTAGACATGTTGATATGAGTAGGTACTGTAGTGGATCTTCCTATATCGAACATACGTCGGACAAGGGGCTTCCACAGCTTTTAACCCAAAAGTTGACATGCCTACTTGGTTGGGTGTCTAATCGAGGTCATATCTATCCGGATATCCAGTTCGATTAAAGTACATGGGATCCCTCAGGCCTTGTGACTTGCAAGGACTGTTGTCGTTTCATTACGGCTATCTAGCTGACGGATTTCTTACACGGGGTTTTGATGCGTGAGGCCATCCTGCTATACGAAAGCCATAAACGGCGTATTCGACTATGTACCTATTCCAGACTATTGGAACGAGGGTGAAAGTCATTGTTTGGTTAATTAGAGAATTTCGTTAACCGTCATTACCAGATCTAGCCGAAAAAACGTGGCCGAGGAACAAAAGAAAAGATCCAGGGGCATTTGTTAGTGTATAAATCAAGTACTACTATATGCTGTACCTACTCCGTAATACCTTCCTAATTATCTGGTGTCAACCGAACCCACGGACCCACGTGGTGATGGATCTTGCACATACATACAGCTGCACTTACACAAAACTGATGTCATTCTTTAGACTATTGGGCAGGAATCTGGCTAGAAATTGTCAACATCGATGTAACATACTCTTCTAGGTACCAGCAGACAATTTGTCGCCTGGTGCATATGCATATACACATTGTCTGGGTATGTAGAACAAGCATTACACTCACTAGCCCAGTGTGGATAAGCATTGATTTGTGAGAGAGAACAACCTGTCGGATCTCACGGGAGTTCCCGGTCTGGGCCAATACTCCGTACACTACACACGAGACAGATGACGCCAAGCTAGCTTAGCCACGGCTGCTGAGCCGACCGGCATCCCATTATCACTACAGCAGTACTGTATTCTACCTAGTAAATAATTCATCAGCTGAAAAGACGGCCATCCTACACCTATCTTCTAGTAATTCCCGACGTCTCGCTTGTCGCCAGCCACACTGGGGCAGTGATAAGCAGCGAGCCCTGGCTTGAAGGGTGGAACGTTGGGCGAACACTTGAGCCGCAATGACGTATAGTAGTTGTGTTACCGTTCCCTCGATTGATACCATCTAGGTATGTTATATTCATTCTTGGCAAGCCTTTATTCTTTGCGCTTCACGAGCATGGCATCTTGCTAGTTACCTTTATATTGGGGCCACCTGAACATGCGTTGGCGTGGTGTTGTTTTTGACTTCTGACTGGGGCCTTGGTAGCCTGCCTTGCTGACTGTTTCTAGAACCATTCCCTGTCGAAGGATCGACTCAGGGGGGCGACTAGTACTAATCATAGTAGCAATTTTGACAAATCATGGCTAACATGTGGTCAAATATGCTGAGAATAAGTCGTAATCAAGCACGACAAATTGTATTAAACGTGATGGTCTGGGTGTAAAAAGTGGGAATGAAGTAGAATGCCCGCTTGTATACTTTATTCGCCGTGCTGTCGCGGTTTGGCCGACTTCTGCTTCCTTTGCGATCGCGATATATTGATCGCCGTCGAATCGATTTAGCGACTCCTACGCATCCTTACTCTAGCCTCATAACGAACCGAGATCAGAATGGACGGGTCTGGGGCTAAGTCTATGAGGCGGCTACATCCGCACGGGATACCGGCAGAACGCCCGGTCAGTTGGAGTGCAATTCCGGCTGACGATCCGGCCGCGCACGAGCAGATGATCAAGTTCATATCCGAGTCGATAGTATGCGACCTCCAAGGCAACATCTCAAGCGGGTTTATGAGACAAATCCACGCTTCCAAGAAGAGCGCTATGTCGCCTCATGACAAGGCGGAGCGGATGCGCATCATTCGCGATATGCGAACAACACTGGAGCGACTTACGGAAGAGCTAGGACAGAAGTTTTTTGAGGAATTTCGCCATAGACCGGCGGTTGGCCGGTGGTATGACTCTTGGTTGTTCAACGAGACACCGCAGTTCTTGCGCTGGGAACAGGAATGGGCCTTCACGCCCGAGGAAAGTTTGGTCACAGTCGATGCTCGCAGCATCAACGGCAGCGTCGATGGGCGTGTATTTGGTTCCGAGACTACCCCGGAGGTTCGGGTGGAATCCGAGGAGGACATCGAAGAGTTCGAAGACACGCAAGAGATCACCCCAGTTCCTGAGTACAGACCAGACGCGCCAGTGACCGAGGTAAGCCGAAAATCTCTCGTCCTTCGTCTCGGCACGGGGTCCCCATGCACGTGGCCTAGCTACAGTTCAATTGACTTGAATGTGGTTAGGAAAAAACCGATGGCCCGGCACCAATCTCCCCTGGCTGCCAGTGCGAGAATACCAATGAAGGCGACGACTCGGAGCACACGCCGCACCTCTGTCAGTCCTGCGCCTGCAGCAATCAGGGTTACGGCTGCATTGCATCTTGTGGTTGTGACGAAACCTGCCGAAACAACTTCAACAACATCGTGCTCGACAACATCCTCGGCATCGATGTTTCCGAGTCGCCGGCGAAACTTGACCCGTGCTTCATCGCCTACCTACAAAAGCATAATCTCAAAGAATCTATCACACTTGATTTTCTCTTCGAAAATCTTCTCGCCGGCTTGGACTATGTACCAGATGGTAACGATGAAGCAATCGATGCCTGGCGGGTGGAATGGGAGACTGCCTATGATGGTCCAGATCCCGAAGCACAGACAGAAAAGCTTCAACGGGAGCTTCTTCGTCTCGGCCTCGGACTCGGTGACAAGCAAGGGGAATGGTTCTTTTCATTCTGCTATAACAACAACGAGCGGATCGGAAGCTGGCAACAAAGTCATCAAATATGGCACTGCCGAGACTGCGGGAGTTGTAGTGAACAGCAAGAATGGCACTGCGGGAAATGCGACAAATGTACTTATGGGAGGGGGATTCCTTGCAGCGGATGCGGAGGGGTCTCTAAGTCGTACCACGAAGAGCACAAGGAGTGACCAGATTCAGGCCCTCTTTATGAAGGTCACGTCAGGCTATCGGCGGGTGAAAAAGGTAGCAAAGAAGTTGAGAACACGACCATCTAGAACCCCTAGCGTTGGAAATACGAAGGGGAGAAAGCGACAGTCTGTTCAGGGACGAAATGTGCTGCCCGCAGGCTACGAGCAACACAATCACATCAGAGCCCAGTGCTCGGAATGAAGCATATGGGAACCGAGTTTGTATATAGTATATATCCCACATTCTTTCACAGCTTTTCCTTATAAGCGTCAACCACGGTTTTGGGCGCAGTGGGTTAGGAAAACCGAGGGTATCCATCACCTAGGTTTAGGGTCAGGGGTAGAGGCCGTTGTTGAATGGCTTTGCTCTTGAAGGATGGAAATGTAAATACCGAATTGTTGTTACTTGTCAGATAAACAGTTTCTTTTTCAAGGTCTTACCACATCAACCCCAGGAGTATCGATCGGAGGGTCGAGCCTAATATATATAGAATCCAATCCCGAAAAGCATTCAAGTATCGTAATATCTGCCGGCAGTCGAGCTTTTGTAGAATAATTGAAATTTATGAATATAGAAGATGTTTCTCTGACAAACATGGGTTTCTGTATCTGCGATCATCCGTTGCAGGTATTTTCTAATCACTTAAAGCTATTGCGACCAGATGCGTCATTCGCTAGAATGAATACTTAAGAAGATGTCCTTCGTCCTTTTCGTATCAAGGATGTCAAGTCTCGTTACGCTCAGATGTCCAGGGAGTCTAGATCAAACGTATTGGTCATCCATAGGTGGCGGCGATCAATTCTTGTAGCGTGACACAGCAAATAACGGTTGAATTTATTTATATTCGATCTTCAAGGGGTTCCCATGTCAAGGTGACGGTATATAAGCAGGTACGGTATTTTGTATGGTATGTACGGAAGACACCACCTACCTCGTTTGGAATTCTGCCATTGCGACTGCGAGCTCTACCTACCTACCTATTATTGTCATTTTCAAGGTGGGCTGTTACTGGTCTGACTAGCGACTGTAGTGTACCATACTACAGCGGGCAGCGCACCTGAACGTAAGCTATCTTTACCTTAAATTGGGTACCTTGTATGGACTCTTGGTAGGAGCACCCACTACCTATAGCTGTATGCTTGACGGTTACACCACACCCTGGACAGTTCGAGAAACTCAAGAAATACCTTATACCTTTACAGAGCAATGTTGGTTCATCAAGTCTTTTCAACTCCAACTCGAGCTTTGTAGATAGTGTCATCTACCTATCTCTAATAATGAAGTGTTCACCTCATCGTTTCAAAATTCCCAATTGAGTATTAGTCTGTTTTAATACTTGCAAGCCCTCGAAGACAAAAACGTCACCATTAGCACTAAATAGGAGGCGGATACCACGGCTCGTGTCTGGACTGGATCCCCTCTCCCACCTCCCGACCCACGATCGGACTGGACTGGACTGGACTCGACTTAGCTAGCACCAGGGCCACGACACTACCTACCTACTACATACTACGCATACATACTACCTCCATACAGCTTACGTGCAATATAGGGCAACACTGTTTTAGGAGTTGCCTCTCTTTCTTTCATTCTCTCCCGCGCTCCCTCTGACTAGATAGACTATTGTTATACTATCACAACCGACCGGCTGCGACTACGAATAACGACCAATATCTACACCCACGTCCTCTAGATACATAGCTCGCATTTAACTCCCATCGCGCTACTGCGAGCGCGAACCCTCTCTCTCCTCAGTCCCAGCATCGACAACGATG